TTCGAAGGGCAGTTCAACTGGCCTGCTGCTCCGGCAACATCGGTCAGACTGTCCTGCCCTCCATGGCCGGTGACGACTGATCCACCAAATGAGGAGGAAGTCCGCAAGGAACTCCAACTCTTGAAGCGTTACAAATCACCTGGCCCAGATGACTTACCTCCGGCTCTTTTTAAAGATGGTGGTGACTTTTTGACTAAGGAATTGACGACGTTGTTTACAAAGGTTTGGGAACTAGAGTGTGTACCAACGTCATGGAATGAGTCGATAGTTGTCCCTATCTTTAAAAAGGGTTCACGTCGTTCTGTAACAACTATCGGGGGATAAGTTTACTTCCGATTGCGTCCAAGCTATTGGCTTCCGTCATTCTTCGTAGGTTGTTCAAAACCCGAGAAAGATTGACTCGCGAGGAGCAGGCTGGGTTTCGTTCTGGTCGAGGATGTATTGATCATATCTTCACCCTCCGCCAAATGTTAGAACACCGCCATACTTTCAAAGGCCAACAATCGTAGTGTTTCTTGACATCAGGGCTGCCTTCGATTCGTTGGACAGGACTGTTCTCTGGGATTGTCTATTGAAGAAGGGTGTGCCTGAGAAGTTTATTAACATCCTAAAAGCCCTATATACAAACACCTCAGGCAGAGTGAGGGCATACAACCACCTCTCTCCATTGTTCCATTCGAGCAGTGGGGTTAGGCAGGGTTGCCCAATCTCACCATTCCTCTTCAACTTTGCCATCGATGACATTCTGGAAACAGCTCTGATGAATGTAAGTAATGGTGGTGTGGATCTGTTGCCTGGAGAAAGACTTCTCGACCTTGAGTATGCGGACGATATTGTCTTACTGTGCGATAATGCCCAAGGCATGCAATCCGCACTTAATCAGTTGGCAATCAGTGTCCGTAGGTATGGTATGTGCTTTGCACCTTCGAAGTGCAAAGTACTTCTACAAGACTGGCAGGATTCTAATCCTGTACTCACCCTGGATGGTGAGCAGATAGACGTAGTCGAGAAGTTCGTGTATCTGGGTAGCTGCATAAGTGCTGGTGGTGGGGTGAGTGATGTGATCAATGCACATATAGTGAAAGCCAGAGCGGCTTATGCCAATCTGGGCCACCTTTGGCGCCTTCGTGATGTTAGTCTGGCTGTAAAAGGTCGGATCTACAACGCGTCGGTGAGAGCAGTTTTGCTCTATGCTTGTGAAACCTGGCCTCTCCGAGTTGAGGACGTTAGACGACTCTCTGTGTTCGATCATCGCTGTCTCCGAAGGATTGCTGACATTCAGTGGCAACACCATGTCAGTAATGCAGAGGTTCGGCATCGTGTGTTCGGGCACAGAGATGATAATCAATTGGTGTCACCATCTTGAAACACCGACTTCGGTGGCTTGGACATGTTCTCCGAATGTCGTCCCAGAGAATTCCACGTCGTGCATTATTTGCCGACTCTGGGACTGGTTGGAAGAAGCGGAGAGGTGGTCAGTGCATGACATGGTGTCGTGGTATGAAAGAAAGCTGCAAAGGACTGGCTTGTGTTGGTCCTTCACGACTCCCTGGTTGGGGTCCGAGAGATGGTGCTACACAGTGGCTAGAGACGTTATCAGATATGGCTCAGAATAGAAGCCAGTGGCGATCCTGCTGTAACCTTCTTTTACTTTCTTCATAAAAAGTGGTTGTGTCTCCTTTACCTGAAAGATTTCTTCTGATTGTACCTTTTCGTTCCGTCGTTACTACCACACTACCTTACTCCAATCTCTTCGTCATTGTTCTCTTTTTCTTTTGCGCTCCTTAGTTTTTTTTTCTACTTCTCTTCGAATTCTCATTGTTTTGTGTGGCGCATATATATTGGCGCTCTCTTGTACCAATATTCATGTGTTCAAATAAATAAATAAATAAGATGAGACTGGAGCTAAAGAAAAGCTGAACAGCTGAGATACTAACAAACTCAATTAATTCAAGATAACTCTTAACAACAGGTTCCAAGATTTACGGGATCTACTGAAAGGAGAAACTACAACTAGAAAGGGTTCAAAGAAAAATTAACTTCAACGTGTCAGGAGATGCTGGGCCGTAACAAGCATCATCATAAGGAATTGATTTCTATCAAAACCCTGGGCATGATTCAAGAAAGGAAGAACAAGGAGACAACAATCAACAACAGCTAGATAAAGCGAACGCACCACATTACTGTCAGTACCAGGAAAGGTATTCAACTGTGTTACTGAACCGGATGAAAGACTCAGCAGACGCCCGACTTCGGAATCAATAGACTGAATTCCTTAGGGATCGGTCGTGAACAAACCAAATCCCGACGCTGCGGATCATCGTTGAACAATCAGTTGAGTGTAACTCACCACTATACATCAACTTCCTTGACAATGAGAAGGCATTTGACAGTGTGGACAGGAGAACCTTGTGGAACCTTCTTCGACACTATGTTGTACTTGAAAAGATCCCCAACATCATCCGGAATTCATATGATAGACTACAGTACAAAGTCGTGCATGGAAGACAGTTCACAGACCCTTTACAAGTAAGAACCAAAGTCAGACAAGACTACTGACTCTCTTCCTTTCTCTTTCTTTTGGTGGTTGACTGGATTATGAAGACCTTCATATGTGACGGGAAGCACGGAATACAATGGACAGCTCGGGATCAATTAGATGATTTGGATTTCTCAGATGACCTAGCCCTCCTATCCCATACACACGAGCAAATGCAGATGAAGACAACTAGTGTAGCAGCAGTCCCTGCATCAGTAGGTCTCAATATACACAAAGGAAAAGGCAACATCCTCAAATGCAACACGGAGGACACCAACTTAATCACACTGGATGGAGACTCTGGAACACGTGAAAAATTCACATATCTGGGCAGCATAGTCGACGAACATGGAGGATCTGATGCATATGTGAATGCAAGGATTGGCAAAACAAGGGTAGCACTTCTACAATTGAAGAATATATAGAACTCATAACAACTATCAGTCAACATCAAAGTTACAATCTTCAATACGAACGTCAAGACCATTCTACTGTACAGAGCTGAAACTTGGAGAACTACTACAAACATAAAAAAAGTAAAGGTATTCATAAACAGTTGTCTGCGCGAGATACTCAATATCCGTTGGCCGGATACTATCAGCAACAGCCTACTGTGGGATAGGACAAACCAGCTGATGAAGAAATCAGGAGAAGACGTTGGAAGTGGATAGGACACACATTGAGGAAATTACCAAACTGCATCATAAGGCAAGCCCTCGTTTGGAATCCTGAAATGAACGTAAAAGACGAAGGCCGAAGAACACACTACGTTGGGAATTGGAAGCAGACATTGTGGTGATGGTTACTTATATTCACATAAGTAGTATATAACGGTGGTCAGGTATAGAATGTATTTCAGTAGAAGATCGATAAGGAAATAACGGAAACGGAACACAATCGGTATGAAAATGCATGGAACAATGAAATCTGAGACAATGGACTGATATTTGCACGAAGAACAGTCAAGTTTGAGACAATGGATTGATATTTTGCAACTTAACTATTTGCTATATGGTTCTCAGATTTTAGTGAGATGCTCTGTGATTTCATGTCAAACACATTCGATTACCCCTGCTCATATTCTTGTTCACTACAACATGAAAAGGATGAATAGCAACTGGAAAGAACTGGAAAGGAATTCCCAGGACAGGTTTGGATGAAGAATGCTGGTGGACGCCTATACTCCTCCACGAGGGGTGACAAGCTTAATTAACTACTTCTATGAATTCGGTGTTCAACTTGTTGTACTAACGAGGTGTGGCAACTTGGATCGATATATATATGTGACTGGTCCTACATTGTAGCTGACTGTTTATAATGATATGATACAGGGAGAAAGAATTAGTTCGTAAAAATAAAGGTAAAAAGTAATTCAAATCTAACGTGTTAAGCGAAGAAAAGGAGTCTATACACTCACACTAATGTGAATGATTATGAGCCATATCACCCAGAGTCTCCAAACACTGGTCATAATAGTCACATGGACCCCAACCAAGTAGTCTGCACCTACCAACACGGCTCAGATCAGAAGAGTTAGTGACTTTATGGACTGATGCCACGTTTTGGTTTATCCGCCCTTAACTTTCTTCCGACCGTCTTCAACACTAGTCAGCACTGAGCGCCGTGGCGATGCTGCAGTCTTTTATTGAAAACTTTTATCAATAAGATCAGTCGTTTGATGACAAACAACAGGAAATTTTGACTATGATTAGCAATTCTAAAGTAAAATATCAACACACCCGCTAACTACTGTCATACCCCAACAAAAGTAAATATAACGTAATATATAACAAAAATCATTGATTCGATCCTACGTATAAAAAATCAATATTATGAAAATGCATTGATAAGACATTATTTTTAGAGTAAAAACGTTAGTATGAGAAAGTTGAAATATATAACATCCCAAACTGAAGCCTTTCTGATATGGATTAAATGATTTAGCTTTATCTTAATAAATCACGTCAGTTATTTCACATGAAAGAAACATAATAATGGTTGGCTCACATAATAAAGCACTTTTGTGCTAGCTGTTACCAGTTATTTAACTAAATAATAATTTGATAGTTCTTGAAGGTTACCAATATCATATGTAATATAAACATTCGCAGAATGAGTTAAATAAGAGATGCAAAAGGCCTTAGTCATTTACCTTCACGTTGGAAATAAGACTTAGATCGTGACCTAATTTAGTTATAATCAATTTGTTCTATGTTACTTATGACCGATTACATACGATTTAGTCTTTGGAGTTTTTCTTAATCCTTAGCATTTCGAGTGTGTACTTTTTTGGGAACTATATCGACTAAAACGTTTCTACTTACATTGTCTAAAAATGTATAGCTAATGGTAAAATCTAGTACTGTATGCACAGTAATAACAAAATAACACCATACAAAATTTGTGAGTTAATCAAAGATTATGTATCACAAAACTGTTCACTGTGATCACAAATGTTTACCTCTGCTTGAATCATTTTTTGCTCAGCCAGTTCAGCCATTAAAGAACGATGTGGTTGAGAGTCTACTGGTTTCACGCGATCATCCTCATTACTACTAGATTTCTGTTCACCTGTTTGGATCGACAATTTATGGAGCCGGTTGTGAAGTATACTAGCTGTCTCTTGAAGTCTTGTAATCTCTGCGTCCTGAATATTTATCTAAAAACTATACTAACAAAGTTGGAAACATACGGTAGCGACGTGTTCGTTATTCACATGTCTCATCATTCTTATTTCTTGATAAGAATCATTGAGTGACTCTAGAAGGCTATTTCTTTCCTCCACAACGGTGTTTAACTGGTTTTCTAAGTGATGTTTCTCCTCACGTAATTTAGTGATCTAAAATTATTATAACAGTATTACGGAACTAACTTCTTGTCTCAAAGACTCGATTGACTGAACATGTTCTTGCATAGACGACTTGTGCTTTAAAAATTCCAACCTCAAGGTAGACATTTCCTCTCTTAAAAGAGCTTCATTCTCACTGGAAGTATTAAGCCGACAAGTTAAAGATTGATTCTGTTGCATTAGCTCCGATATAGTAGTATTTTTCTCACGTTCCATCTGTCTACACATTTTCTTTTCCTTTTTTAGGTCTATACGCATGGCAATTATATCCGTCTGTAGTTCTTTTACTTGAGCATCATAATCACTCTCAACAGCCTCCAAACGAAGCTTGAGAATCCGACGTTCTTTTTCCAGGCTCTAACAATGTTTTCTTATATTGCGAATCACTTACATGGATTTTCTGCAGCAGGGATTCCAGTACTCCACCATCACTATTGTGACAGTTATTACTATGTAGCAGATATGAAGACATCCCCTCGGTCCCGGTGCACAGGAGATCAACATTTGAAGAATTCATTGGATTACAGACGCTAAATGACACGATTACTTCTCATATGTACTCACTTAAGTATAATGACTATGGCAGCTGAATTAAAACATATATCGTAAAATTATCTGGACAATTGTAATGTCTTTCCTTTGATCGGTTTTCGTATAGATTAGAGATAATTCGTATGCGAAGGAAGTGTTCAAAGTAGTACTAATCTAAAAGAGTGAAGAACAAAACAGAAATTGACCGCGAAGTTCAACAACCACATAAGACGAGCTTGTGTCTAATAGTGGATGAAGTCAATTGAAATTAGCAATGACGAAAGCTCAAAAATAAACGAAATAATAATCAGAACAAGAATCTTTGAGAGCTATAATTGCCGCAAAATTAAAATGCGCAGATCGATCAGATAGCTGGAATCACTATTAGAAAAATGTCAGTTGACGTGCCGATGAGCTTTCAGCTTTTGAAACAATCAAGCAACAGTAACCACCCAACCATACGTAATGATCTGACCAATCAACAATTTCCAGATCGATAGTTGTGTTTATCGTACCGTTACCAAGACAAAATTCTCCCGCCTCCACAAACGTTTTTATCAAATACGACCAATAACCATAAGACCAAGGAGTGAAGAAAAGTTCTCTTTCTACTGTCGATAAACCTATCTAACACAGACTTTTAAAGTTTCGCTTGACAATAACCAGGGAAGTTAACCTCTAATAATTCTTGATAGCTGCAAACTTTTCTTTGACAGTTTTTTTAACATAGAGATGTCCTCTTTTTAGCATAGCTAGGTATTCTAATGATCTAAATATTATTATTCCAGTGGAATGCTCATTTACATATTTAACTGGTAAAATCTTGGGTCTTGATTGTACAATTGATGGTGTTCAGAAAAAACAGTAACAATTCTTCTGGATTGATAAATTATACAGTTTTAATTGTGATCTAACGTGCAAAGGCTTTCCTTTAATGACCAATTGAATTAATTTTCAAATAAAGTATAATAAAATTATGAGTCTATAGACAGTGTCACATTTATATCAGTGTTTTGGTTTATACTCAGATTGAGAGTGATGAAAAATTACCGAGTGTCTTGTACTGAGTCGACAAAACAGTTCACTTATGAAACAGCTTTGTCGTACTCTTTTTACTATTATGGTACAAATCTTTTGATGTTGTAGTGTTCATAGTGGTCGTCAAAAATTAAGGAAAGTAATGAGACCTACATGTGTTCTGCGAAATCGGACTGTGGAGATGAGAGTTTAAGAAACAAAACATCACAGCTTGTCAAAATAAATTTTGCACACAGGGTAGTAATTTCACAACAGAATCTTCTGTAAAAGAACCAAACCCTAGGTTTGAAAGCACAATAAGTCATAATAAGTAACTAATAAGCAAGCTACTCTCGGAAATAACAGAATAGGACAAGTGGATTCTGAAAGTACGCAAGCAAGCCGCCTTCTGTATTATTATTTTGCTGCCGCTGAAGAGAGATATCTGAAACTGAGGAACCCAATCAGACTAAGTGGACCTGTGGTAAGTGCCTGTAATTGTTGATGATGTCACAGGTATTCAGTGTTTGACAACGCTTCTACCAGTAACACCTTCTAATATGATTAGTACCCACCGAGAGAAATCAAAAGACAGAGTCGAGGAGATCGGAAGAGTGTATTTGGCGATTACCAATATATCGGAATTCTCTGATCTAATCTGGCTAGCGATTGCGGTTGATATTGAGCACGGGGTTACCACACGTGATCTGGTGCGGATGCCTGACCGAGCGCCTTCAGCTCGATGAGTCCACTAAAACATATGGTCAGCATCCAATGTCGAAAACTTACAGGGCTATTTATTTTGGGGATTTATTTACCGCTACATTGTTTTGACGCAACTGAAATTTGGAGATATAAAAACGGAACGGTGATAAAAGCTCTAAACTTGAATTTATAGGTTGTCAAAACTCAAAACCAAACGACCTTCAACCACTCTGGATGATATTAGAAATACGAGGTGATTAAAAAACAGATTGCAAGATATTCCTTGGAATATACATAACAAGTTGCAAGTACATTACCCAGCAGTTGAACATGGAGACCAGTTAATTATGTTACGCCTTATGTGATAAAACTGATTAATTTTGTTTTTAGAAAAGGTATTCTCAACTTTGCCTGGCATTAATTTTTTGCCGTAAATGTATTTCTCACCCCAGGCTCCCAACTTTGGGGAAAATTGAGTCCATTTTGGGGAAGCCGCTATAATAAATTTTGGGGAAATTTTAGGGAAATGAGAAAAAAACCCAAAATTTCCCCAGAATTTCGGAGAAATCCTCAAATGCAAATGAACTTCACCAAGGTTTGAGAGAAATTTTCGGGCTCTAGCGCCATTTCCCAAAAATTGGGAGATTGTGTTTCTTACTTTGTTCTGAGATTTAAAATATTACCAGAGCTTAACAGCACGATCAAATGGCTGGATTAATTGCTATTGTAAAAGTCTTCAGCTTCAAAAACACATTTAGAGCTTATTGAACATGTGACTAGCAGTATCTTTACAACCAAACCTACAAGGCGTATAGGACGTATAGACAAAACGTCTGATTTCGAACCGTCGTCCTTTATAAGTTCAATATAACAATGACTACTGAAGCAGTATAACAAAACTTAGAAAGCCATTGCCAATAAACAAGACAGTTCAAATATATGTTTCATGCGTGAAAATTTTAATCTCTCAATTTTTTTGCTTTGAAATCGTCATCTCTATTGTTTCTCTATTTTCCCAAAGAATATTTTTCTGTGTGATACACAATGATTTAGCTTAATGTTCTTAATTTTAAAATTGCGGTTCATCACCCATATACCATAGTTTGAAATACTCTGTTTGATTTTTTTCTTCAGAACTCTAAAAAACGTTTATACTGGTGACAGCACTCAATAAACTGGAGATTTGTTATCATGTAGTAATCTACTTTTATCAAAAGGACGCGATTGGTGTTATGTAAACAAGTATTACTTACAACCAATTGTACCAGGGGTTGCGTCACCGTACTCGCTTGTTTAATCGTACCAGAATTCATACGTTCTTCCACTGGTTGTGTCCTGGATTCCACTGCTAGTCACCACCTATCTTTGCTTATAAAGCTTGTGACTTCAGGTAGTATCGCGGCAGTCCGCACGGGATGCATATATGCCAACAAGAGGCTGATCAGTCGCAGTCCAAAATAGCAATGTGGAGATACAATTAAACAACACCAAGTGAATATAACTTTACCTTATCGCACAAGCATGTGGCTATCGGGACTGAATGACTAAGTGGATAACGCGACAGCGTTTGAAGCGAATGGTACTGGGTTAGAATCCTAAAGTGAACACCAGCTCTGGGATGTAGGTACGTGCAGCTGACTATTCCCAAATTCGACGATACGCACTTTCTGGTTCCTCTGCTAGCCACTATCCATATAGATGTGTTTTGCACGTCTTTTGATTTATTTCCATATAAAAATATGTTAATTGTAGCATGCCAGTTTACAGGACACATCAGAATATTACAAATGTTACAATGTTTACCGTAATAAGTTACGCAATTAGTTTGGTGTGTAATAATAAATATAAACAGGGGGTAAAGTTGAGTACATATAAATATGATTAATGTTATAATTAATCATAATACAAAGCAGATGCGGTCCATTCGTACAGGCATGAAAAATAGTGTTCAACATGTTTTTAAAGATAAGGCAATAACTAAGTTGGGTTATTAAATAAATGAGAACATTATATCTCTGCTGTCATACTCCTGCAGTTTACTTTCTTGCATTTTTCATCTTTATGAACACTCAAGATAACTCCACACCTATCTCAGACACAGGTCTTGATTCCCGAGCTACCTTGAGCCTTCTGCCAAATTTTTCCGCTCCGCCTTCTATTTAGACACTACTAGAAACAGAAAAGTTTAGGCAAACCCTTGGCATTACAGAAATGTTGAATAATCTCTTGGTGAACAATAATGAATAGCCACAGCAACACATACGATTGACGTAAGAAAGCTGCAAATTGGCACTAACATTCTTAATTTACTTTAATATCTCATCAACCCTTCGCAGAGATTCTAGATAATAGGAATAATAAAAATTATTTCCTGAATCGTATTGCTTCAAAAGAGTTTGAAGGGATAACACGAACCAGTAATGAAAACGTACTTAATATACCGGAAACCTATGCTCCTAAAAATAGCACGTCTAATCTGCCTAAAGCCAACAATATGACAAACGTACAATGAGTGAGCACAAAAATAAGAATGAAGTCACCGATATTGTCAAAACTCAACACATCTGCAAACTGATATAAGTTTCCGACCTTCTCGAATACGGTCAGATAAAAACAGAACTTCCGGGAGATTACAATAAGCCAGATATAGAACCGTGTCAGCGAAATGCAGGTAAAGCTAGTTAAAGATCATTAACATCAAGATCCCTAAAGCGTTCTAATCCTAAAGATCATAAAATTGCGTTTGATTCCGAGATATTCTGTAGAATCTATAGTTTACATCATTATTAGTACTGCTGTCGTGATAGACCTTATCCTAAGATCAGTCGTGATGTAACTGCTCAGTCTATAAGATCTTACGTGAAAGCCAAACCATTTTCTACACTGACTAATCGTATCGTGACAATCAGAAACTTAGGAAACTCCTCTCTACAGGTAACTTAAGTTGAGGAAGGTCTTGAAGCGTTTTTATTTTAATATCTGAGATCTTATGCTAACTGTGTCAAAAATGCCTTACAAGCTAACGTTGCACTGTTAAGGTTGAAACGCATTTCGGCCAGTTCAACGGAATATCTCTCCACATAATCTTCCACGGTTTATTCGTCCTCATTGAGGGTACTGAAGCATAGTATTTCCTCCCTCACGCCAAAAGGATAAGGACACTCTGGAAAGTATCCAACGGCGAGACATGAACTCAGTTCAGGGACTCAAATTCAAGCCTTACGAAGAGCATCTCTAATCACTGAAACTTTATGCATTGGAGAACAGCGTCTTAAAGGTAACCTAATGGCTTACAGCACCCTAAATACTTCTAGACACCCCTTAAACAGCCACTTAATCTTATTCCCAACACAAACCTTGAGGATAACACCCAGAATTTGGAGACACAACATAGAAGAACAGACTGTAGACACACCCTACACTCCTCAAGAGTAGTTAAACTCTGGAATATGCTACCAACTGAGCTAGTTCAATCGAGTTCCTAGGAGCACTTTGAGAGAACACTTGACATATTCTGAAGGACTAAGGATAGCATTTTACTATAATTTCCCATTCTTTTCAATTTTCTCTTTTTATCGACGGTATATCTAGGTTCATGCATGGAGGTATAGGTGATCCACTGATACCAGACAGTGATGCACGTTAGTCAAAGCTTCTACTATTTCGTCCGTAACCATTCGAACCATTAGTGATAGTCGTCTTTCCTTAGCACTCAAATTGTCACTTTAGAAATCTTCACATTTCAGCTGACCAGCTTGCTGCTTGCTTACGTGTTAGCTACTGGTATCCAGAAAGCTCACTGCTCTGAAATGAGCACACTCGGATTAAATGATATACAAATCCACAAATGAGTATCCCAATGAATAGAGTTGGTAAAGTCGAATGGATAGATTACCACCCATGTGGTATTATCAACGACCTGTAACCGTACCGCAATAACAAAAAGCAAGTGCAAAGGAATCATTAGGTTTATACCAGCTCATGTTTAAGATATTGGATATTGGAATAGGAACTAAAGCAACCTGCTCAAGGTCGTAGAAACAGATGTGTGCTTTAAGGTGGCGTACGTAAGTTTATCATTTGTAGTGCAATGTTTTTGTCTGTATTCCTCAATGGTCATAAGACTTACCATTTCATTCTATCGCTGTGATTTCACTTTGTGCTTCTTGTTCGAAATATTCCTTTTTCTTGTGACTGCGTGTCTCGAACAAACACTGACATGAACATGCGTAAATCCTGCAGTATAATACTTTACGGAGTATTAATTATTCCACTTATGTAGACTGTTCAACTAGAGAGTTGCGAAATAGCTGTAATGGTAAGTAATCGGATACTTCGGGTCTTAGGTTATCGCTCGACAATGTGCTATAGTTTTTAAGTCATGGCTAACAATGACTTCTAAGTAATTGTATGTCTGGACAACAGTTAGCTAACTGTCATTCACTGTACGTGTCTGTACCTTGGTGATCAATGTGTATCACGATGCAGTTGGAATCGTTTATCGGGAACTGCTAAGTTTGAGACCATTCAGATAATTTATCCAGGCCATTTTGAAGTTCTAAGCTATCATCCTTACTTTTTATCTCTCCATATTTTGGCATCATCAGCATACAGCAAGACCGGTGATGATAGGAGACGAGGAAGGTCATTTACATTTAAGAGGAATAGCACTGACCTCAAAACTGTACCCTGAGGTGCTCCGCTAAGCACAGCTTCCCAGCTAGATAACTCGGAATTCACCGGTACTCTTTATTGGCGCCCAACAGGAAGTATTCTGACCACATTAATAAATTGCATCCAACACTGTTTTCACTTAACTTATATAACAGTTGGTTGTGAGAAACTTCGACAAAAGCTTTGCTGAAATCAATGTAAGCTACGTCTACAGGTAACTTTTGGGCCTTAAGAGCGCACCAGCTTTCACGAGCGACCAATAAGTTAGTGAGACATAAATAACGCGTTCCAAAGCTATGCTGTTTCTCAGAAAGAACCCGGCTTTTTCGAGTTACTTAAACAGGGCGAGACTCTAATTTAGGGACGAGCCAATCAGAAGCGTTTGAGCAATTTCAAGGTCACGGAGCCAAGTTCAACACGCGCTGCTAACATACGATCGGTTCACGGCGGATTTTAGAGAGTAGGTGATTAATGAGAGGTTACAACAGATGGGACGGCGAAACTCTATTTTAGGGACGAGCCAATGAGAAGCGTTTGAGCAATTTCAATTATTAGCCAATCAGAAGACAGTATAAAGTAAAAATATATCAGTCTTCAGTAATAAGGATAGTAGGTTGATGAACCTGTGTTAATCCTGACACATTGCTTTCCAGTGAAGGTCCAGCTTTTCCTTGAAAGTATTCACTGATGGGGCTGATACCACTTGTTCGGGTAAGGCGTTCCAATGATTGACTACTCGATGAGAAAAACGGGATCCCACTTTAAGTTTATTAGATCGTGGTTTATGAACCTTCTTGCTATGACCTCGGAGATTATTAGTGCTGGAGGGAGCAAAAAGATAAGACATATTAACACCCAAATCATAATTAAAGATACGAAATGCCAGTATAAGGTCACCTCGTGTCCTACGATACGACAAGGGGAAAAGATTTAGGCGTTTTAAGCGCTCATCGTAAGGGAGACTAGAAAGACCCTTCACTAATTTCGTTCCCACACGCTGGACACGCTCAAGGGAGTTAGTATCCTTTACTAGACACGGGCTAGCTGCTTGGATACAGTACTCTAAATGTGGTCTAACATATATGGGGTATAAAATTCGAAACGTTTCCTCGTCAAAAGATTTGAACGCTCGGCGAAGTGACCATAACGCACGAAAACCTTTGACAGCGGCTGCTTTGCAATGCGCAGTTGTTTTTAAGTC